TGTGCGCTTGGGCTTGCTAACCCGGGAACTGTACTGGTATTTGCTTGTCCACTCCCCCCGAAAGTACATTCTTATTCGGAAAAAGTGCTCACTGGGACGAGTGTACCTGAATTGTAACGATTGTGAAACTTTTTTTTTTTTTTGGAGAGCCGGGTAATGTCCGCCGAGGTACTCTACTGAAAGTCACGGTAAATGCCGTTGCAGCTCCTGTGAGACAGCGGTGTTACTGCATTGTTATCTTCTGATTTTGGGAAGGTAACTCCTTCATGGCTTCCTCGGAATTTATTTAGCTATGTTCCATGTTAATGGTGCCTGCAGTGGCAGTGGGGGCTGTCTGAGGAGGTTAAAAACATGACAGCAGGCCATAGGGATAGGTGAAAGAAGACTTAAAGGCACCCTAACTACAGTAAAGTTATGGATAACTGGTTTTATCTCAGTGTCTAAGAGAATGCTTATTAAACTTAAAATGGAGGGGAGCAAATGAAAATTCACTTTTGAAGATAAATAAGTAGCAATTGTGAAACTTAAAAGATATATAGTATTTTTATTTAGTGTCTTGTCCTGAAAGAAGATAAAAGTAACCTGCAATAACAGTTCTTTTAAGCAATTCCTGAAAATATGTTCTAGATTATTTGCATTTTTAAACCAAGAGTTTAAAAGGTAACTACTATTTCTCGTTGCCTAATCTTGAATTTTTTTTTTTAATGTACTTAAAGGTACATGTTCATTTCAAGTAGAAAGGAACATGTTCCCAAATTCCTCCAACTTGGGTCGGCCACCTTTCCCTCCAAAACACCACCAACGGAGTAACTTCTTCAGTAAGCTTCCTGCAAATATGCCACCTACAGTCATCACTCACCAGCCAGTTACTGATGTTCAGTTTAACTTTCATGATGGGACGTAAGTACAGTAAGATTTGATAGTGGGAATTGGGTTGAAAAAGAGAGTTAACAGTCTTTTGAAAAAAGTATTTCTGTTTATGGAGGATGTTTTTTACTGTTTTTAACATTAAAGTCATTAAACTTAAAAAAAATAAAGGTATCATGTAAAACATAGCTGTATCATTTCTGTTGGTGACCTGCAAGTTGTAATGCTCTCCTGCATTGTGTGTAATGCATGAGATGCCATTGCATTGAGTTAATAACCCACAGTTCAGTTTTAAAGATCTCCAGTTGTATTTGATCACTGGGGAAAACAGGGAGGAGATGAGAAGGGGAAGAAACATTCATTCTTGAGGCTAGATTTGAAGACACCATAGTGTTCTTCAGGCTTTTAATTTAATAGTACCTTAAGTTAATTTGTTTGCAAACCTCTTCGTACACATGTACTATGAAGAATGACCATCTCCTATTTTTTTATGAGAAATATATTATATACTGAAATATATCTTCATTTTGGATGGGAAAGAAAGATTTATTGCTTCGAAGAAAAAAAACACAGAACTTGCAGAATTTAGTGTTCACTTAAGGAAAAACTGCCAACCCAGAAAAAAACATCTTGGTTATCATAGGAATAACAGTAACTGACTGTAGTCTTTCTTTCCCTTGACCAGGAGTCTTTTGAGTGGGAACCTTGCAACTATTCCAGCTGTTACACCGCAGCCAACGTCTTACGGAAGTGGTGGTCTGGTACATACGTCTGGCCGCACGTCATTCCGAGGAAGAAAGTAAGTACTTCGTGTGTCCGTGATTAATTCTGGTTGTAATGTGCCCATTGTGAAGCATATCTAACAAAATTCTAGTTGCACAAGAAATTGATGTTAGAAATTGCAATACTGAATGAAATGCTTTTTGATGAAACAGGCCATGTCATGGCTCTTTAAGGCATTCATGTACTTGCTTTTGAGAATTTTGGTACTCATAATAAATAAGTTAGTATGTATAATATTTTCTCTTCCAACAGCTATAATCTTACATAACTGACTTACATGTTTTATTTTAATATTATAGTAGATTGTAGTCTGTGTGTACTTGACTATAAAAGGGTTTCTGTCAATAAACTGACTATTCTCTTCCTCTTAATATGTCAAGTTAAGAGTAAGACTGGACCCTCCATGTTTTATGGGAATTGTGATTTTTTTTTTGATGACACAGTAGATGCTTCTCCTGATTTTTCTTAATTATGTGATGCTTTATATTTCAAATACGAAGTGCTAAATTCAAGCACATATAAGTCCTTTTTTTTAAGAGGAATTTTATGGAAATACATTTTTTTCTACTTTTAAAAAATTAAACTGATTTCAGTATACGTAACTTCCTTCATTACTTTATTGCAACAGAAGGAGGAATTTCAGATGAAAGTATGGTTTTATTTCTTTTAACACTGTAGAAAAAAATTACTTCTTATAAGTTCAGAAATAGTAGCTGATATGTGTTTGTAATAACTCTGTGACTCAGCTAATAAGGAGGAAGCTTTATGTAATCTGTCTTCAAAATTATTTGCAAATTTAACAGATGAGAAAGTAAGTACAATTAAATTTATGGTATTAAGCTATAGTTGAGTATATAACTATCGTGTGGACTAAAGTTCCTGATTTCATGTTGTATGCATGTTTTCCTCTTGACCAGTCTGGTTTATGGAAAGCTATGCTGTGTTAGGAGATTTGCAGTCAACTAATTAATCCTTAGATCTTGAGTTGACTCTTCTTAAGATATTTTTGCAGAACATGAATTCATGCAAGTTCTTCTTAGTCAAAATGGGCTAAAACAGTATTATGATTTGATTTGACATTATGAATTTCCTTAATCTTGTGAGTAGGTAAAGTTATCAGAACTTTCTCAGACTTGAAAACTGAAATGATGACTTGAGGTCTTGTGGTGGGTTGACCCTGGCTGGACACTAGGTGCCCACCAAAGCTGCTCTATCACTCCCCCCTTCTGAGCTGGACAGGGGAGAGAAAATATGACAAATGTAAGGGGATCCCTGCTCCAGCACCTGGAGCATCTCCTCCCCTTTCTTCTTTGCTGACCTTGGTGTCTGCAGAGTTGTTCCTCTCACGTATGCTCAATCCTTTCTCCAGCTGCAGTTGCTGTGCGCTTCTGGGTTTTTTTGGCTTTTTTTTTCCCTTTCTTAAATCTGTTATCCCAGAGGTGCTACCACTGTCTCTGGACTCAGCCTTGGCCAGTGGCAGGTCCATCTTGGAGCTGGCTGGCACTGGCTTTATCGGACATGGGGGAAGCTTCTAGCAGCTTCTCACAGAAGGCCCCCTTGCAGCCCTCGCCCTCACCCCCACAAAACCTTGCCATGCAAACCCAATACAGGTCTCTTCAGTTAAATTTTTGTTAATGATACTATCTGTTCAGGTCCCCAAACAGCTTTAATGCCAGCTTTTCTGACTACAAGAAATCACTGTAGTTTTATTAATAGTTAATTTATTGATACATATGAACATTTGAATTACATTTTATTTTTTTAATTAAAAAAAGTGTGAGTACCCCCATATTGGTTAACTTTATGCAATATTTGATGTATAAACAAAACATGAATGTCCTCCCTTATTCTTTACTGTGCATGCACCACAGTATTCAACCGCTGATCAGCTTTCAGTACAAGCTTTTCTTAATGAAGAGTTTGGATGCCAAGGGACTGTCTGTAAGAACACTATTGCTTTTCAAATATATTTGAATTCCTGTGACAAATGACTTACTGAGGAGATGCAGGCCAGGGTTTGAAAATGAGATGTTAGGTTTATGACCTGTGTAGCTTAATACAATCTACATTGTATTAAGGGATATTTGTCAAATGAACAGTGTTTCTTTTTTGCCCAGATTACAGAGTTCACTTTCTGTACAATCTAAGACACAGACAAATGCTACATTTTGAACTGATAAGTTTCTTTTTCTCCCCTCCCCACTACTAAATTTATTTTATTAATCACTGGGTGTTCAGAACTCACAAAACTTCTCACTGCACTTACATTGATTTAAAAGAAAAGTACCCTGACATTGTATGTATCTTTTTTTCTTAAAGTATGTTCTGACCAAAAGAGTATGACTAGCTTTCTGAGCTGTCCTGTTTAACTGAACTTGCCATTTAGGTTTCAAATGGTTAATACAGGCACTCTTATAAAGCAGTTGCATCAATTCACTTCAAGGGTAGCTGCACTTTTGCAGTTGTGTGTTCTCTTTTTCCCATTCCAGGTTTATTTCACCTAATATCTAGGATGGGCATGCCTTTTGTACTGTAGAATACTTGCTTTTAGTGAAATAATCATGTAATTAAGCATTGATGTTTGTACTTTGTAGCAACTGTCTCCTATTCATAGGCTGGAGCTTGCAAACTAGAGGAATTACCATCTCTTTCCTTTCTCCCCCAACCTCCAATTTTTAGGAGACAAAGTGAACAGTATGTTGCAGATGATGTCAAACGGCAGCGGTTTCACTCACATCATTCTAAAACAACTGTAGTTAGCCAAGCAGTGCCTTTACCAAAAAAACATAGATACTCCTTCCCAATCGGATCGGTTCGGTCTCCATCGCTAAGTGCAAGTTACAAACCAGAATTAACAGGATGTGTCCCTCCGTTGCAAGATAGTTTGTTGCAAGACACTGCAGAAACCACGTTCCCTGTGGCCAAAGATAAGGTAATACCTTTCTATGCCTGTGCTTTACTTCTGCATTCTGAGTAGGCAAGATCCAATGGTGCTGTGGGAGACCCCAAAATTTCTGCAAGGTTCTTTGGCAGTGTCATGGGGTCTCTATCACTGAGTTGTCTTGGAAGGAATACGAATAAACGTTAACTTCCACTATGGTCCTGTATGGCCTCCTTATGTGTGTTTGGGTTTGGAACATTTCTGAGGACTAGGGGTGGTGTTTACTTGTGTTACTTACTTTCCATACTAGTGTCAGGAAACCTGCATGTCAGCTCTAGGAAGTAGAAATTGGAGGGATGGTCCATTTTTCACATGATTGCGGGGCAAGGACAATCCTGACTAGAGAGGTGTGGGGGGGGAGATGAGCCAACACCCTGGTAATGTGAGAGAAGCCCATTCTGAATAAATACAGTACTATGCCTGTAAAGATGTTGTCTGCCTCTCTTCAGAAGGAGACAAGTTACAGACAAGCTACAGACGTAGCTGTTCTGGGATATAGTAGAGGATGTCGTCTTTAGGTGGGCAGGGGAGTTGGAACTGTGTTTTTGTTCTTTTTTAATTAAAAAGAAAGCATGTGGCTAATCAGTCTTCATACTTTATCTGCACCAACATGACAGAAAATTTTTTTTTTTAATATAAGCATGCCTGATTATAGCATATAACAGTGTTGTGAAAGGGAAACGGTTAATACCTCCTTCCACCAAAGATATGACTATTTCTTTAATAGTTTGTGTGGGATAAAAAAAGAAAGCTAACTGAATTAAGTTTTAATATTTATTGTTCTCCCTATTACTGGTAGGCAAACTATTGACGTTAAAGTCAGCAGAAGATATCTCTGGTCTTTCACTGCTTATTCGCTTATTCCCTGAAAAGCTGCATATACTGATGAGGCAGACATTTTATAACAGATTGAACAAATATAAATTTTAAAAACTTACAGAAATTTCTTCCAGGGAGTTGTTCAGTATGAATTCAAGTGTGGTACAACTCTAGACAATGGAATAGGTAATGTGAAATTATGTTTGGTTTTTTTGGTCTTTTTAATGCAGTCTTCTGTGTTTCATGTAATTGCATCTCTGGCCAGAAAGAATGTTCACTTCTTTGTATCTTTACTTTTTGAATGTGTGTGTCCAGTTAAGTCAGCAGGTTCTGGAGTTGTTTCAAGCATGTCAGCAGCAGACTTGTGATTTGAACAGAAAAGAGCTTTGCAGAACGGAACTCCAGAGAGAAATTCAGCAAATTTTTCCACGTATGTTTTGATTACTTAAGATCAGTTTGAATGTTCTTCAGGTTCATCATTCTTCCTTCTTCTTAAACTATGACATGTCAACATCAGTTTTTATTCTGTGATTCTTCTGTTACAGAGAGCAGACTCTTTCTGGTTGGGTCCTCACTGAATGGGTTTGGCACTCGTAGCAGCGATGGTGACTTGTGCCTGGTGATTAAGGAAGAACCAGTAAGTAACTTAAACCATATATAGTTAAAACAGTTTGTTTTTAAAATGTATGTGCTGTTATAAGGTTGGATTCTAAAATGAAAAACAAATGGTCAAATCCTTTTGATTTAATAACATATTTTTGTACTCATAATAGCCATGAACTTTGGGTCCAATAATGTTGTAAATATGAATTTAACCCTGTAAACCCTTAAACCCAACAAAATATTCCAAAAATAAGCATTACCTTCACTCCGTAAGTGAAAAAAGCACAGCAAAACAGAGAAGTAAATTGACTAGAATCATGAAGAAAATTGCTTAAAGAACTCTCACTTGCTTTAGATGCAGGAACAACTTTTAATAAATACAATTTTTTCATTTCAGTATTCAGATTCATAGCTGCTAATCTTACTGAGCAGGCATAAGAAGGAATTTGGTATGCAAAATATCTTAAGTATTTCTGGGGAGAAAAAATGTTTGAGTAGAATTTTGGTTGAGAGAAAAGATGTAACACGAATCTAAATAGAGCATAATTTTGAAAGAACTGAAGCATCATTGAAAAGGCAGGAAAGGACTTTTTTATAAATGGGGCTAGGTTTTCCTCAAGTTCTGTGATTTGTGAATGTCTGATAGTTACTTTGCATATTGAATATTAACTGTTCTGAATGGTTTTTGCTGCACTAAATGTTTATGTAGGCTGTGAAATGTGTTGGTATACATGTTCATATCTTATTTGGAGAATTAATAATTTTTATTTGAAAAGTAAAGCATGCTTACTTGGAACATTTAAATGAGAGATACCAACTTTTTTCTTTAATATCATATTTCAGGTAAATCAGAAAACTGAAGCAAGGCATATACTTGGCTTAGTCCAGAAACTCTTCAGTACTAAACTTTGTAAGTTCTCAGATACAGTGAGGTGGTAAGATTATTGGCAATTCTGGAAGAAGTATTGATGCACAATTATAACTAATTTATGTAATTGCATCTTGTGTAGCTTCTAATCACAGTATTGTTTAGAGAAGAGCTATAAATATTTAGTAGTGTTACTTACCTCGGTGCTGAGTGACAGTAATTAGAAAAACGTAACGGTTGCTTTGCAAACTAGTGGACTTCAAGAACAGGTAGCATCTAAAATGACTTTTGAATTGTGGACTGCAGTTGGCAGTGTGGGGGCGAAGTAGATTCTGGTTGGGAAACATCTCTTAGTGGTTTCCCACAATACTCTAAAGAATTTTTAAAATAAGGTGTCACTCAGTAGACTGTAGAATTGATTTGGTGTAGAGTCAGGGAGGGGCTTTGGTACCTGTGGAATGTTCCGGTTCCTCAGGTGGTCTTGAACCTGACACTCTCTTATAGTGGGAGCGAATTCAGTCCCCATCTTCCAGTTCTTCCACTCGAGAGATGTGGGAAGAGAGGCTGCCAGTGTAGACTGAGGAAAAGAAGTCATTGAGTACCTCAGCCTTCTCCTCATGCCTTGTTACCCCTCTGCCAGTCTTGCTCAGCAGGGTGGTTATGCTTTCTTTGCCCTTCCTTATCTGGCTGATATACTTGTAGAAGCCATTGTTGTTATTCTTTTCATCCCTTGCCAAATTCAGCTCCTTGGCCTTCCTGACCCCCACCCTACACAACCAGGCAGCATCCCTGTACTCTTCCCAGGATGCCTGTCCCTGCTTCCACCACTTGTGCATTTCCTTCTTGCCCTTTAGTTTGACCAGCAGGTCTCCACTCAGCCATGCTGGCCCCTTGCCTTCTTCCTTTCCTGATTTCTTATACCTGGGGATTAAGAGCTCTTGCGCTCTCCTGAAAGTGTCCTTAGAGATCTGCCAGCTCTCTTCTGCTCCCTTGTCCCTGAGGGCAGTTTCCCTGGGGCTCCTATTGACTGAGTCCATGAAGAGCTGGAAGTTTGCTTTCCTCAAATTCAGGGCCCTGACTTTACTCTGTGCCTGCCCCATGTCCGTCAGGACTGTGAACTCCACCAGTGCATGACCACTGCAGCCCAGGCTGCCTCCAATCCTGATGTTGCCAGTTAGCTCACTTGTGTTGGTGACCAACAGGTCCAGTATGGCTTCCCCTCTGGTAGGGCTGTCTGTTGCCTGGCACAGGAGGTTATCCTCCATGCACTCCAGGAGTCTCCTGAATTGCCTGCAGCTCACCTTGCTACTTCTCCATCATGTATCAGGGTGGCTGAAGTCCCTCAGCAGGACGAGAGCCTGTGAGTGTGATGCCTCCTGTAGCTGGAGTGAGAAGGGATTGTCAACAGATGCCCCTTGATCAGGTGGCCTGTAGTAGGCACCAACCACAAGGTTCCCTTTGTTGCCTTGGTCCCTGATTCTTACCCATAAGGTTTCGGCCTGCTTGTGGCTATTCTTCAGAGACAGCACGTTGCACTCTATCCATTCCTTGACGTAGAGGGCAATGCCTTCACCCCTCCTTCCTCACCCCATATCTTCTGAACAGCCTGTAGCTATTGACAGCCACGTTCCTGTCATGGGATTCGTCCCACCAAGTTTTGCTAATGGTGATCAGGTTATAGCTTCATCTTCAGAACTTTAAGTGCTGTCTGTTTTATCACTTATATACAGTTTACTGTAATAAGTGATGAAACAGTGATTGTTTACTGTGATTGTTAGGTTAGTGTTTCATTCTAGGAGGTTTGGCAAGTGGTTTCAATATATACCTAAGCTCTAGCATATTTGAGTTTCAGGCTTGCAGAAGGTAACATGCATAAGCAAGGAATTTGAGCCCCTCAGATTTAAAGTGTTGGAGCAGAGGCTTTTCAGTGTTATCATTCTGCATCTAGAATACTGACTGAAATGAAGATGTGTTCTTTTTTTGAATAGTCTAGTCACAGAGTAAAGTGGGAAAAAGCTTCTGATATTTATTCATTGTTTTTTGTGGGACTTGTTAGTATTAATGGTATGTATTGTGGTTTCTGCTAGACTAGAGATTTAAGAATAGCAGTAATCTAGCAGAGTACTCGTAACTTTTCAACGTATTTGTTCTGATACCTGCACACACCTATTTTTTTACAATACTGGCTAACATTCCCTGAACTATATGCTCAAGCCAATGTCTTTTAGAAATGTTAAATGTGAAACATGAATTTGGGGTGATAACTGTTACAATGTATTGAAGAGAGTATAATCCAAACCACAGAGAGTAAATGTCAAACTGATTACTCTCTCCAGATTTGTCTAGGCATGATTCATTTGAAAAACAGCTTAGCAGTACTGGGTTGACTGCTGTATAGTATCTGAATAAATAACAAAGAGCTTGTTTTCTCTTAGTTATACAAAGAGGTGCAATAGTGTTGAGACTAGAATATCAGAATGGAATCTGCCTAATGGTTGTCTAGTGGGGAACATCCAACACCTAGGACAAGCAAGGGAACTTGAACTGAAATGAGTGACCTTGAAGGGCTATGCAGGTGGATGAATTCCAAACACCAACAACTAATTTGTCCTGTGCTGACTTCTACCCTCCTAGATTCTTCATGACTCTGGATTCAGACTTCTGTGTTGCTCAGTTTCTAGAATATAACCTTATCGATGAGAGCAGGCTACACGTGCAGGATGCCAAAGACCTTTTTGGCATATACCGTGTTTAGGATTAATATTTTGTACAATTGCTTAACCTTTTATTCTGTAAAAGAGGGACTTATGCTGTTTAATCTGAAATTCAGCATAAGTTGTTTATGAAACAGTGTTTAGTCGTCTTTGAAGTAGCTATTCTTTTTCACTACAGCTGAAATGGCATTTGACTTTTTCATAGACATGCCCAAAACTGTGGAGCAACTATGTGGTATTTATGTGCTGCTTAGTGTAGCCCCTCTGGTTGTAGCTTCAAGGTCAGATACTCAGTTTGCTAAGGCACTTACTGAACCTGTATGTATTTCAGAATTTCTTATTCTGTGTTGGACTGTCATACATACAAAGGAAGAAACAATCTCATGTACAGTAGAGGTTCTACTAACAATGTCATCAGTGTGAGCCAAGAAAATCACTGCCTTCTAATGTCTTTGTTTCCCAGGGTGAAACAAAACTGATGGGGATTACATTTTGGGTTTTTTTTTTCTTAACTAATTTGGCACAAGTACCCATCAAGTGTTGGAAGACATTTGCAGGCCAGGATGTGCTTGGAAGTGTACTGCTGCTAGAATGAGTTCAGTTAACTTTTGAAAGGCACTTCAGAAAGGTCATAGTGAGGAAAGTTGAATTGCTATGGCATGCAGATAGATACCCACTGTTGTCTACCATGTGCTGATGTGTTGGGCATCTTTGTCTTAAATTTGGTAGTGAAAGAAAAGGAGGCAGAGAGCAATACATGCTTTATAGCTTTGCTTGAAGAATGTTCTGTGGTGTTGGAGGAGGGATGCTTGGATGTGTCTGCAGGTGCAGCTAGAAAGAGGGAACACTTGTGCAAGTAGTACTAGCTTGTATGTTCAGTGAACATGGATTGGAGTTTTGTGAGTTTCTTTCTTTAAAAGTAATAAGTTAATAAGAGTATCTCTTTGAGTGCCTGTCTGTGTGTTGCTTAGGATCATACAATGCATTCAAATCCAGATAAAGGATTACCTCAGGTCAAATCTCTCTAAACATGCGTGTCCATAAAACACTTTTTCTGAAAGTTAAAAAAAAAATTGGTTTAATTGAATATTGCAGGGTAAGGTTTTACCAAACCTGAAGTCATCCAAGTGCAATGGAGGTGACACTATGTAATCAAAGTTGCTATCCAAACTGATAGAAGTACCTCTTTTTTTCTCCTAAAAAAAGTGAAGATCAGCTTTTATTTAAGGTTGTTCTTAGTCTGCATTAATGCTAGCTTTGTCATACTTATTTATGCTAATTTAAGGTTAATTTATATAAGCAAGGGGAAAATATATGATGTTAGATATGGGCCAATTCAAGTGGTCCTAGATTTTGCAACAGAAGAAATTACTAAGTCGTGCCTTTTGCCAAAATTCGTATAATGTAACCTAAGGGTTCTGGTTTTATTTCTTTTCCATTACTTTCTTGGGTGCATTTCTCATTCAGGACTATGGGCAACTACTAAATATAGACTAAGATATCATCAAGAATAGGGAAATCACAAATAATGACTACAGCAACAGTTTTGGGGAGCTGAGTGCAAAGGCATGTTTGATGGCACTGTATGAGTCTGGCAGGGCTTAGTATGTTTGGGCTTGGATGGTCTGGCATTGAGCCTGTGTGTCTATACTGTGTGGGCAATCATATGAGTCCTACAACCGTATATTTATTGCATGTCCTATCACCATTAAAGCACATGGCAAGTAATGGTTATTCCATCTTTGGAAAGTGGTGTCCTGTTTTCAACAATAATTTCATAGGAAATGTATTTTTTTGGTATGTGCTTCATCGGTCAAACAGTTTTTAAAGGAAGTTTTAAGCAGAATCAGTGCATAGTGAAGATAGTTACGTTAATATTTTTTCATCAGTAAAATGTATAATTTCAACTGTAAGCAAACTAGACATGATTAAAATTATGCAGCTGACCATGCATCTGTTGCTGTAACGTAGCGCCGGGCTTAAGTGTTTGGCTATCCTGGATGTATATGTTCTTGCTCCCATCTTTTTGAACCTTAATTGTAACTATTCAGGATTTCTACTAGAAGTGCTGCTCAGTAAAAGCATTGTAGTACTGCATTCCTTATGCTCAAATTTCTTGAGTATACTTTCCACAGAAAAATCTTCCACTAATGTTTTTCTCAATGTTTAGTGTGTTTTTTTCCATATGCTTTCCTAGATTGTATTTTTGCTGCAGTTGCTAAAGGTTACTTAGTTTAGCACAACCCTTCTGAGAATATTTGTGCTAAATTTAATAACCTACCATTTGCTATAAATCAGTCAATGACTGTATGACTCCACTCTAGGATCTTTTTTTAAGATCAGCATCTTACATGAAAGTTAATTGCATATTTTTCTCCCTTTCAGCAGCCTACATTGAGCGACCTCGGCTGATTCGAGCAAAAGTGCCAATAGTGAAGTTCAGGGACAAAGTCAGGCAAGTATTCTGTTCGACATCAGTTTTTAGACTCTGACATGGGAAAGTATTCTACGTATGTACTGTCCATATGAGTAGTCCCACTGAAGTCATGCTTTCTTTAGTTGTGTTGTGCTGTAGTTGTGTTGCAGATTAGTACAGCTAGCGTGCAGTGGCAGTCAGCTTGCTTCCTTGATGGCCTGAAATGCCTCTTGTGGTTGAGATGCTGTTTAGTTTCTGTGATGTGAATTAGTAGCGGTATGTCATGTATTTCTGTGCGTTATTTGTACATAGTGGACTCCATTTGACAATGGTTCATGATAGAAAAACAGCAGTGGGAAGAAAACTGTTGTGAAAGATAATTTTGCTTGCTGTGCAAACATAACCATTGAGCTACTTAAGGACTAATTCACAGTATTTACGCTATACAAACAACACTAAAACTTTAGTTTCTTGTAATTATGATGTTTTCTTGATAAAAAAGTTTTTGTTCATTTTAGAATATATTCTGCTGTCTTCTAGAGATGTATTCCATGTTTAACAACGTAGTATTATATGTTATATTCAAAGTGTTAAGTACTAATTTTATGACCTTTTTTAAAAGGGGAAGTAATTGGAGAGATGTGGATGTGTTTGTATGTTGTTGTATTCATTGTACCTTCATTATGAAGACATGAAAATGAATAATAAGGGGATGTACTACGATGGAGAACAGTGTATTTCTTTATTGTGTGTGAAAAAAGTACCTGACAGGAAAAAACCTGTCTCTGTCTTTTAAAAACAAGCAAGCCCACTTTTCTGTCCTCTCTTCATAAAAGCATATCATGATGTGCTTTTATCACAATATACCTTTATCAGGGCAGAAGCCCTGCTGGGATAAAACAGAATCTGTCATGTTCACAATTTGAACTAATAAATATCATCACTTTAAGCTTTTCTTGCATCTGAGATTATATAATAATTGTTAGGGTTTTTGCTTTATGCTTTTTTCATTTACAACTAATCCCATATTTACTTCTGTATACTTGCCTACATTTTACAAAAATGAATAATTTTTATCTAGTAACTTTCTCCACTAACAGTACGGAAGATTGTTTCTCACATGCTTTCTGAAAGTATTAAACTTGTCAAGCTAAAATTTGTGTTAAATGGCTTAACTACATATAACAATGCTAGTGTTTTCATAGATACACTAAGTGGTAAATTCCTGGTACAAATAGTGAATAAATAATGGAGTTATAGCAAGAATATTTTTTTCCAATTTAAAATCAGAAAATAAACTTTAAAAAGAAACCTTAGGTATGAAAGTGATTATGTCAGAAGATTGAAGTCTTCTTGTAGGCATTTATGGTCCATTCTATTGTCACTTGCAAAAAAAAGTAACAGTCATGATATTCATATACCGCACAGACGGGATTTAAAGAATTTTTTATTTCCCACTAAATCAAAGTATAATCTTCTTAGACTAGAAGCTGCCCACTATGTTTTTCAGAGAAAAAAACAGTACTGTTCACCGTCTGGTTTCCTGTGGTTTTTTTGGAAGAGGCGGGTAGAGGGGGAATGACATGACTGTGGGTGGGTGGTTTTGTTTTTCTTCCCTGTGTCCTGTTATCTTTCTCTTACGTAACCTGTCACCTCCACCTATCTTTTGTCTCTTTAAAAGTGTCTGTCTTTCCAATCTCTTACCAGCCTCTGTCTTTCATAGGCTCATACATATACATACATGCACAGTCATACATTTTTTTCCACAGAGGTCTTGGAAAAATGGATTGCATATTCCGTACCTAGGGCACTAAACTTGTTTTAGCAAAAACCGGAAACTAAACACTGCTTAACTAAACATCAAGAAAACTGGCTTTCCTGTGAAAGCCAGTTTTGATACCTGGCTGCTGGGAGAAGATGATAGAATTCAATGGGTGGTATCTCAGCATTTGGATTCTAATGTGTTGTCAATGGTGCATATATACCTGAAAATTGCTATTTCCCACTTACTTGGATTTGGTGAATGAGACAGTATTCAGTTTGTGTTTGTTCTCCTTTTTTATCTTAAAGGGTTTTTTTAGCACTATAACAGTAAGGGAAGATCCAGTGCACTGAAAGACTTTTTATCTATTTTTTGGTAGTTTTTCCCAGGAAATAATTCCAGTGCTGGCTCTGCTACCAGGCAAGCCTTTGATTAATTAACGAGATTTCTGTACTATAGAGGATGCAAACACTTCCTCTTCTGCTACACTTGATGTGCAGTTGACTCTTCCCCACCCCCCCACCCCGACCTGTAGTGCTTTTGGTAGAACTTGTGCCCCAACAGTACAAGCTTTTCACTTGCCATAACTGCAACACCTATTGAAAGTGCATATTAAAGTACACAATAACTGCAATAGAACTTGCTTAATCAGCATCTGGTAGATAGTAATCTTGTCAGCTGGGGTTAATTAGAACTATATATGCAGCTTGACATATTTCCTTATTATATTTGTACATACAGCTAATACTCTTCTGGTGTTTATGCCTATTTTTACAACTGTCAAGCAGTAGCTCAAGCTTGTTTATTTCCTGTACTGTTATGTACTATGCTTTTAAAAAATCTAAAAAGTCATGCTTGATATTAATTCATGTTTAAACTTATGTAGTATTTTTTATGTAAAGAATGCTTTAAGGTAGTTAATGATGTCAAAAACCTTTTGTAGGCATCAAATTAATGTGTTTTATCTGGTTTAATAAATTCCAGGTCCATGTTCCTCTTACAATAAGGCAAGAAAATCCAAAGGAATATTCAGGCAAACAGATGCTATGTGAATAAGGCATGGATATATAAACTGGAAATAGCTGTACATTGCAGATAGCAGCTACTTTGTCAATAATAGGCTCTTGTTGAAAGTTAGTGTTGCTATAGCTTATTAACTATGAATTTAATATTGTTTCTTGAGTACTGTGAGTAGTTAGGGTCTATATGCAGTATGAAATTCAACCTTTGGCAGGGTGTGGTATAAATAAAGCAGGTGGTGCTTGTTTGCCTTGTCCTTACGTGATGATAGCAGCATGAAACAGTTATTAATACTGTTTTATCAAAACACATGCACTATTTACTAATAAACAGTGCTTGCTGATTATCTCTGACCATCATTGCAGAAAAGAGTCTTAGCTTTTGAACTTTTCCAATTCTCCTTCTCATTTCATTGGCATGATTTCCTAAATTGATACCTCAGAATCCTTGCTGGCATCAAAAATTGTCCATAGTAAATCATGTAGTACAAGTCTAGTTAGGGGAAAGATTTGTTCAAAATCCCAAAACATATTTGATGTATTAAGTTGTGCTAAGGTCTAAATTTGGATCTACATGTATTATCTATGTAAAACAAACAACTACATTTTTATAATATTGGAATTCAAGTCCACAAGCACTTCAAGTACTATAAACAAAACCAGAGTAGAAATCAAAACTCTGAAGAAAGTTTCTAGGTTATTATCTTAAATTTACATTTCTCTACCTCTGTCACTAAGTAGGTAACAAATTCTGAAATTGAATGAATACCACGATGCTTGATTCTTTTTCTTTTTCTCCTCCCCAATAGCTGTGTGGAGTTTGACTTGAATGTAAACAATGTTGTAGGAATAAGAAATACGTTCCTTCTGAGAACCTATGCATACAGTAAGTTTTTTATGTATTATTTCTATAAACTTTGGTTTTTAAATTTGTATTGATAAACTATTAAAATTCAGTTGAATATATTAGGTTACTAAATATATAATTACCTAATAAGCTGCATTAGATAGTTTTAAGATAACTTCTTGTCGCTTACTCTAAATAGATGGAGAAAATGGATATATTAGCTATGTATGTTTTTAACTGAATATTATAATATTCAGAAGACAGCAAAGATTCTTCATATTAAGATCCATATGTCTGCTACAAGGGCTGCTTCAGTATTCTGCAGATAACGAGATTATTATACTAATGATTATCTAATGGTATAATCTCCAGTTTCTTTTACTTCCTTGCAGACACTTACAGGTGTGTGTGACTTAGAGCTAGCTGCGTCTGTATGCTGTTACAGAGTCTTTCCTTGGAAAATCCAAAATACTGCTTCAGTTTTTATACTAACCCCAAAACAAAACTGGTTTGTGTCTCCTCAGGAGTTTGCATTTTAGGGAGAGACTGTGAAACAGACTTCTGAAGGGGAAGTAATAAGAGCACTCTTAGTGCTAAACTAAGGTTTTCTTACTTGGCATCGTAGTGTTGTTTGGCAGATAAATACATAAGGAGTGGACCTCAGACTAAGCCACTTCTTGGCCATTTGCGGTTCTTCCTTTACTACCTTCTTCAGTTCTTGTATACAGAAATTCCCTTCTGTTTAGCATAGGAAGTTACCAGTAGAAGTTACCTTTACTAGTTTTACTAATATTTCAGAGTTATTTCAGTGTTCCATATTCATGTTACTAGAAGAGTCTACAATTTGTCCTGGATCAATTGGTTAACCAATTTCTTTGTACATCCAGGATGCTTGAGAAAGATTTCCTTCCAAGCTTAAAGGTTAGGGAAATAATCTTTGTCATTCCTGGCTACAGGTGAGTGGTGACTTCACAACTAATGTTGATATAGTTGTCCCTAGCTTCTACCACAGATTTCCCTTATTCCTCTTAGCAAATCACTGTAGGGCAGACAAGAGTCCAGATGTGAAAATAGCAGTGGAAGGGGGTTTTAGTGTCCCACCTTTCCTTCCATTCTGCCTTGGTCCCCACTTCTGTAAAGCCAGCAAAATTAATTTTGTGTCTCCTGATGAAGGATAAATATTGCTATTTTCTTGAGGTCAAGGAATGAGTTAGTACCTAAGGGAGACTTGTGATTGAAAAGATTGTCTTCTCAATGTGCTAGACCTTTTTAAATAGGCAAACTGTATCAAGCATAGTCTGTCTTGTCTTCTTTGGACCAGAAAACTCTCAGGTGACATAAGGCAAACAAAAGTAAATGGGAACTTTTATCAGACAGTCTCTTTACACACTTTTAGAAGTCATATCAACCAGGGTTGATACCATTAAAAGTATTAGCCTGCTTATTTAAATTTGTGGCTGAAGGGCTTTATCCTGTATGGGAGAAAAAGATCAAATTACGTCTCATGGAAGATGTTTGGCTCTGTTCCATTAGAACAAATTAGATGCTCAGGCAAACAAGGGACTGGTTATCTTGGTGAGCATGATAAAAGAAAAAAATAATAAATATTTCTGTGGATGCTCTTCTTTTTTTTTTTTTTAAATCAGCGCTTCTGTGTTATTGCATAAGTGCGGTAGAAAACATCAAAGGTGATATGACAAAGTGAAGCAGAATGGACACAGAAAAAGTAGGTAGATGAAGCAGAGCTAGAAACTGAAGTCTGTGCTGTTGTGTTATCAGTTGTTTGCCTAAGGAGGCACGTCTGCAATTAAATTAGCAATTGATGGTAGGTATTTTTCAATTAGTGGAAGCTGGACCTTTGAGCAAATGACATTACTGAGCATTTTCTTGAGGGGGTAGCTTGTTGACTGATGAAAAAATATCAGGAAAAGTTTACTGGCCATGTTGCACAGTAACTTTGTTATGTACTAATTACAAACTCTAGAAAACTGAAAACCTTATATCAAAATAAGGTTGACTAAAAAGAGATCTTTTCTACTATGACACACGTGCGTGCTCACACACACACAAAAGAGTCCCATTTGGAATTTGAGCCTATTTGCATTTTTCTCTCATAGAAAAATCCTATTTCAGTTAATGCATGTTCATGTGATGTCTGTACAGTAATTCTTCTGCATCTCACAGTTAATGTACTAATAGTCATATTTTTTTAGTTCAACCACTGGTGAATAATGTCAGGAATGAGGTCACTGGTGGTAAGGAGTTTTGTTGTTTCTAAGAGGTCTTCCAGATCTAGAACATCAATGATGAGAAAGAGTACCACTTACAGGGGCATGTGTACTGAACTATTGTGAACAAGTTGGGAGAAAATCACGTGCTTGATACGATTTTCATAATAATAGAGAGTACTCCAACTGGTGCTGTTGTAGGATATCTGTTGTCCTGAGTGAAGTGATTACCTGTTGATGTATTCCTGTCCTGATGTGCAGAATACAAAATTTCACATGATGTTGTCAAGTTAGCAAACATATACTCTAGAACATAGAAGGCATTGTAAGGCCATCATAAGGCACCTGGCTGATGTGATGATCTGCTTCCACATATCTGCAAGTAATAATTTATTACACTGCAAGGTCCCTAGGAGGTGGTGGTGAGTGACATTTCCCT